AGGAGCCAAAGCTCTGTTTCAGGAAATCACATCCCCAGCAATCGGTGGTCGTAGGGTTAAGCTGTACAAGAGTTCATACGCCGTTAATTGGCAGTTATTATTATTATTACATGAATTGCTGCCAGTTAGTAAGTGTCAATTTGAACTTGTGCTTTAAAATTAGCTTCCACTAGTTTTTCTATGGCATAAGCGATTTTGAAGTTGCGGACCTAAATATTTTCATAAGTGCTTTAGAAATTGCGGAGCTAATTTTTAGGTTAGAGCTGCCCACCACTGACCAGAACAATGTGTTGAGAGCTTTGGCTTGTGGTCTGTTTGCCAGTGTAATATTTTTATTTGACCACTAGAGGACTCTGGAGACCACATGTCTTATCCTGTGCAGTCCTTAAAATGTATACTCTTYAGACAAGTTCATGTATATTTGTTTATTGTATAATCTTTATTGTGATATAATGATTACTCATTTATTGTACAGTTTTCTAATGTTGGTGTTTATATTTGTTTGATATAGACCACACATATTACCCACTGTTACCAGCTGTCCAACTTCTCATTAAAGTCTGCAAATGTCTCTCCGTGCCCATACTCTCTGACCGGAGTCCCTGTCCTAAGATATTATAAGATCAGCAAATAATATTCAGAGTGCCCACTCTAATTCACAACCAAATCATGGAATTTCAAAATTTTCAATTTGCAAAATAATGTATTTGATGGATGGTTGTAATCTTTTTTTAGTGATAATTCTTATGGCTCTTTTCTGCAAAACAAAAATTATATTTGTAATAGTTTTGCAAGCTTTACCCCAGACTTCAATACAGTAAATTAAATGWGGAACAATTRTTGAATTRTACAACACAAACAGAGCTTTGTCATTRAATAACTCCCTGACTTTATAAAGTACTCCAATAGATTTAGATATTTTTGTTCTTAAATAATGTTTGTGAGGTCTCCATGTCAGCTTGTCATCAATGATGACACCCAGAAATTTCACCTCACTGACTCTACAGGTCTCAATATCATCTACTTCAAATGAGAAATCAACAGCTGTCTTCCTATTACTAAATATCATGTAATTTGTTTTACCCAAATTTAATGACAATTTGGTTTGTTGAAACCAACTTTATATTTTCTCGAATTCTTTCTGTACCATCTTTAACATTTTTTCTATAAATTTACCTAAACAAAAAAATGTTGTATCGTCAGCAAATAAAACACATTTGAAAAGTCCTGACACTCATCCCRACCCCAAAATGAGAAATTGTGTAAAAAGAAAAATGAATGATCAGATTGCATAGCTGTCTTTCTAGTTTGACTTGCTTCAAACTTACACGRAACTGAGCTTCCTGTCAGTTTTATGAACAGACAGAATTCCTTGTCGCCCACACATCTGYAGACATCATCCAGTGAGACAGGGCCTCTGAGACATGGCAGGTAAGACTTGAAAACTCGTATCATTTTTATGTTCTTGTTGCTTTTTACTTGATTTTCTCTGTTTGTTTTCTTTATTTCCAGACAAGGAGCTTGTCAGAGTGAGAGCAAACTTTGTGGCAAAGGTATCCAAATCCATGATCAAGCAGCTCCTGGACGACCTGTTAGAGGACGGTCTGCTGAACGATGGGGAGGTGGAATCTGTGCTGGAGGACAACAGTAACAAAGCAGACATGGCCCGGGCTCTCATCGACGCTGTGAGAAAGAAAGGGAGCAAAGCCAGCGGGATGCTGATCGACCACATCAAAGAAAAAAGATCCTACGCTTTACTCTGAACTGGGTCTGTGCTGCGTGCCGACACCAGGTGAAGAGCAGAAACCACACATAAATCCAGAGTGAATGACTGCGAGCTGGAGTTTGTAAAACAATGAATTATTAAGGGTAAAACAAGCAACTAACAAAATAAAATAAAATGTATATAAAATAATAATAAAATGCAAACTACAACACTTTTTACATTTTTCACATAAAAACAAAACTATTTTAAACCTGGCTTTATTTGCTTGGTTATTTAAATATGAAAAAAAAATCAGTGCTTTCCTTAATATTTTTGTTCTTGAAGTCACTTATCCTTCAAGTTTTAAGTACGAAGTACAGCCTTGTTTATATATATTAAAAGAGCAGCTGGAGCTTGTAGATCAGGTTTTTTTTCAGGTCTGTCTCAGATTAAAACATCTTTAGACTCCTGATGGGAACAAAGCACATTGCATGACAACTCTACAGCTGTGTGTGTGTGTGTGTGTGTGTGTGTGTGTGTGTGTGTG